TTTGATAAAGAACCTAAAGTACGTGGGAGTATAGAGAAGGCGGGAGAGACAGAGAGTTTAAAGAAGACTGCTGGGAGGAGAGAGTGAATATAACCACCCACCTAAGCAACTGTTAGACTGGTGGTCAAAAAGCAGACACGTCCAGACACTCTCAGAAACAAGGAGTGACAAAAGTGAATAAGGGAGTGTGTGAGATCCCAGGAAGGAGGGAGAGTTTGACTCAGGCACAGCACAGAGTGACAGAACAGTCTAAAGAACCAGGATACACAGCAGGGATAAGTACATCCTCAGGACCAGACGAGTGAATGGATACCTTTTGCAGTCTAAGTGGACTTGACCCACTATGGGTGAGCAACCTCTAATATTGAATATTACTCAAGAATATAAATATATATGTCATTTTGTTTGTGTCACATATATACCCATAAAGAGTTGTTATTTTTTATGTGTGATATTTATATTGAAATTTCTCTGGAAACGAAAACCAGAATATATCTGTTTTTTGTATGACTTTTCGATTATTTGATTATTATTATTTATTATGTGTTGAATTAAGTTCAGATGATGGTGATGCATTGTGGTTAATATTTAGAATGTGATTAATTTGACCTGACATTACATATTTTCAACAAACTAGCAAATAAATGTACAATTTAACTGATCTGTTCATTCAGTTACATTACATTTCAGTTACATGATTTAGTCCAGTCTCAAGTCTTTAATAAGTAATTCAATCTCAGCTGTCTCTAACCCATTCATATAAAGAGTCAAGATAAAGTCAGTGATGAGCTTGGCCATGATAAGCAATAAAAAAAATAAGAAAAATTGACCAACAGGGTAAACAAAGCACAAAATGTTCAAAATTATAACCTAATTTATATATAAATACCTGGTTTCTCTGTGGAGAGGGTTTGAATCAAGACAATATCTGGTTTTCTGTGGAGAGGGTTTGGATCAAGACAATATTGATCCACTGAAAGAATGAAGACTTGTTGAAAAGTTAAGCACACCCTGTTCTTTATCTCCAGGACTGGAACCAGACATGGTACACGCATAACCCTGAACTGAGCAATTGCTTCCAGAACACAGTCCTGGTGTGGGCTCCATGCATCTACCTGTGGGTCCTCTCTCCATTCTACTGCCTTCATCTCTACTGCCACGGCCGAGGTCGGCTGCCCCTCTCTTCACTCTGCAATGCCAAGCTGGTGAGGCAGACCGCTACGACCTGTTAATGTTATACAAGCCTGTCCGGGTCTCAAAAGTACCAGCTTTGTGGTCTATAAAATTCAAACCAGAATGTCAAAACAAAGTGAACGTGGTGGTCTGGGTAGACTGAGGGGTCGAGTTCACGCTTTAGTGGCCGAGGAAGACCGTAAAAGAGAGAGTGGTGTTGTGTGTAACCTCAGTTTGTGGTGTGAGTGTGGTTAGCACTCTAGTGAGCTGTGATGTCACTTTTCACTCTTCCGCTCTAAAACTCTTTTGTTTGAAATACAGTTGTTTCTCCGTTTGTTTAGAGCCACACAGATTCCAATCCAGTCTTATCATAATGTAAATCGCACCTCTTCTCTACAGTCATTGACCACCGGAGATTCCGGGAGAGTGACTCAAGTTCTCACTCTGATATGAATTGTATTCCTCTTTGCTCTTTTACAGTTGTTGGGGTTTTTCTTGGCATCCTTTGGCTTTGTGGAATTCTTCTACATCCTGTTGGAACGAAGACAGGAAATCCAGCAACACCTTGTCTTCTTGATCAGTCCTATCATACGCAGTCTGACCGTGGTAATGTAACCTCTAAGTTCCAAATTGTATGAGAAAAACGTAGCAGTACAGGCTGAAATCAGCGCGAAAAATTGTGTAGAACTGTTTATTGAAGAAAAAGTCGGCCCCAAACGGTTGTTTTAACCAAATCAACAATTCAGGGTTTTGTTGCTTAGCTTGCTACGTGTAATCTTAGAGTTTTATCTTAGCATGGTAAAGATTGGTGCCCAGGCATGAGGTGTGGTCTCATTTGCCATGATGAAATCCAGTCATTTCAATAGGAATCTAGGAATTCCTATCAGGATTGATATGATTCCAGAGGATCAGGAATTAGGCTGAAAGATTTCCACGAGTAGACTTTGCAACAGGTTCAAGTCGCTCGCCTGAATTCACTGTGTTGTGCAAAAGAAAGCTGCTTGGTTTGAAAGTGACCTCTATGTGAGCTGTGCTTCTTACATAACAACACCAAAATTTTAATTAGACCAAAATATATTTCCATTTTGGTCTGGACTGGTTAACATAATAGCAGCGTTTTGGTGTTTCAGGTTTGCCAGCATAACGTAAATTATATGCTAATGTAGGGTTTTAGCTTGTGACGCCAGTTGGCTTTGTTTTTCTTTTAGAATTGGTTGACCAAAGAGGTCCTTGCTGGTGAAGCTAGATAAGAAATGAGAAGAAAATGTATGTACGTCTGACATTAGACAATCTGTCAAACATCTCAACAGATTAAAGAGGTAGATTGGCTCACTGTTGTAGAATTTCCATTTATTCAACAGTGTTTTGATTCAAAGGATCTTCATCAAGTGGAACTGTGGGAATATGCAGCAGTGTGTGGATCTTTAGTTTCATTTGTGATAAGCTAGTTAAGAACATCAGCATCCCATATTAGGAACCAGTAGCCAAAACATAAGCATATGTGTTAAGGATGGATGCATCAGCCCACATATGGAAATACATATTAAAGATTTAAAGGAGTAGTTCACTTTAAAAAAAAAACTTTTGCTGATAATTTACTCACCCCCATGTCATCCAAGATGTCCACGTCTTTCTTTCTTCAGTTGAAAAGAAATTAAGGTTTTTGATGAAAACATTCCAGGATTTTCTCCATATAATGGACTTCATTGGGAACCAAATGGTTCAAGGTCCAAATGAGCATTTCAGTGCAGCTTCAAAGGGCTTTAAACGACACCAGGCGATGAAAAGGGTCTTAAGACAAGGATCCTTCGAGTCATGACTCGAAAAAAGATTTGTTCATTTTGATGAACGAGGAGAGTCACGAACGCTCATCACAGAACAGAGCAAGGTCAGCATTTGTGCGTATAAAACTTAAACTTTTTTATTTATTTTTTAAAATGACCGATCGTTTAGCTAGATAAGACCTTTATTCATCGTCTGGTGTCGTTTGAAGCCCTTTGAAGCTGCACTGAAACTCTCATTTGGACCTTGAACCGTTTGGTTCCCATTGAAGTCCATTATATGGAGAAAATCCTTTCTTTTTAATTTCTTTTCGACTGAAGAAAGAAAGACATGGCCATTTTGGATGACAACCTGGTGAGTAAATTATCAGCAATTTTTTTTTTTAAAGTGAACTACTCCTTTACGCTTTATTCATTCCACACCTACATTCATTTCACAACACACCTGCGTATGTTTGTAACTAACCCCTAACACAGCAGGATCTGTTTTCATCTAATAGACTGTGACATTCTGAGGTAAACTAGGTTAGGGGCACACCTACACATGGCCTAATGAACACAATCTCATCATCACCTTCTGGGCTCCAGACCAGTCTCATGACCCATCTGTGGTCTCTTCAGACACCTAAGTCAACATTGGCTAGTGACAAAGTAAAAACACTTAAAGAGTTAAACAGTGTGATCGTGTCCTTAAACGGCCCCTTCCTTAACAGATTGTGATCTTAATTGGTCAAAAAGTGAAATAAAGCAGTCTCATAACTTGGGCAGGGGCTGGAGTGTAGGTAGAAATGCTCAATAGCAATTTTAGAGATTTATTATGAAGGTGCATAAATATTGCTTTTACTGTAATATTTAAATGTTGATTCGCTGCTTTGCTCAACCTCCTTTACCACCTATGGGTTTTCTTGGATAATATTTGGGCTCATGTAATGAACAGTATAGAGAGCAACAACCACCACAATTCTATTGAACCTAGAGGGGGAATTTGCTAAGAGCACCCCGCCAATTGCAATTTATTTACAACACTGTCTGGATTGTTGTAGCACCTGATTTACTAGGAACACCATAAACTTGCACAAATCTGTGCCAAACGCAACTGGCAATGCGCAATTCTCTATCTTCAGGTTAGTTATGAAACCTACCTAGTTTGAGGAAGATACATCAGACTTTGCTGGGACTGTATATACCATCAGTCCACCAGATTCAGAGACCTGAAATGTCTTTTCGGGTCTCTGAATTTTTGCTTTAACAAATTTGATATAGACCTTTAACCATGGGCTGTAACCACTACACATACCTTCAATATTCAGATTATCCATCAATATTGGTTTTTAATGGTACAGTCTCACATTTTTATATCTGGCCACCCTCAATATTGAATTTTTGGTTGATATTGTTGTCTGGAGCTCAAGTCTTTATCTACCAATCATAAGCTGCTGCCGGTTTCAATGTGTGCTCTCATTTAAGCTGCAGGAAGCAGATCTGTCTCTGTCTTCTATCACTCTTAACTCTCCAGTATAATTGCTAGCTTTGGCTCCCTCCCACTGTCCAGAGGACTTATTTTCGTGAGACGTGAAGTCAACATCAACAATGCAGATGTTACATGTGGTTTACATGTTCTGTTTCCAGGTAGCGCAACAAACCTCCGCAGGCGTCTTTCATTAGGACGTGATTAAGGGTTCCTTTTAAAGGTTTCACCTCATTTCTCTGGGGTTATTTGGTTTGGTTTTGAGGAGGCGTCTTTGGATCCAGTCCTGATCTGTCTGTACCGCACCAGGAGGCTGCTTTTGATGTTTTGCGCTACCTAGGAGATACTGCAACAAATTAACATCACATCAAGCTTGGGATCGGCAAGAACCGCTGGTTGACACAGTCTGGTTTTGAGACATGCAGAATGTCACAATTTTGGATGAAGAAAAGACACAGAAATTAAGAAAGATGTGGGTTCAACAGAGGCCACACTTTACATAGGCTATGTTGTTTTATTAGAGGAGACAGCTGTGGTGGTAGACAGGAAAAATTCCAATATAACTTGACCAAAACAACTGAAACAAAAACGAAGCAAATTTAATGATGGATTAGTCTTCATGTCATCAAGAAAGCATAGTACAATTTTAAAAGTAAGGTTTCCCTAACAGATTTCATCTACTATTTTTTTTTTAAAACTTGGTTGGGTGTTGTTTTGCTTACCGATCTTCCTTCGCTCTAAAGGTCATGGCCTCGATAGTAGTCATTTAAATATGTTAAATGTAATTAAATCTATTTAAAGTCCTTCACAATGAGATTGCATAACGGTGAAATGTGTAATTTCAAAAAGGATGAAGTAATGAAGTTTCCCTGAACACTTTCCCTGTTTTCCCATGGTCGGCCAAACAGACAGTCCTGTCCCCAAACTCACACCATTGGCCATTCAAAGAGAACCATATTGTTTACACTTTCTATAGCTGTATCCTACGAATGGCTTAGGCTTTTTAAATGTACAAAAAAATACATACTTTGCTTTAAAGTAAACTTGCATCATTCAGTAGCAGAAGGAGAGCTGTGCTCTTTTTAAGTTATTTGTTATTACTGTTTTTTTTTTTTTGAACTGTAATTTTAGCAGATGAGAATAATGTCATTAACAGTTGTGTGTTTGACAGGTGTTAGCCGTGTGCGTGATTCATTGGGAGAGAGTGCGGGGATGCCGTTCCTCTGCCTTCCTGTTCTTCTTCTGGCTGTTGGGCGTGGTTTGTTCCCTCATTCCACTTCATGCAAAGGTCCAGCTGGCTGCAGAGCAGGTGAGAAAAATGACAACTGACAGAGAATTTCAGTTTCACGGTACATTCACAACACCTTGGACTAAGCCTACACATACAGCCACATATGGGTGTATTAACATATGGATGAAACACAGGTCGGTGCCCTATGCAAACATGCATGGTCACAGGTACATATCCATGCACAAGCAAATACATTGCAGCACACTCACACAAACACATGGCAGTTCAGCATTCCTGCAGTTTCTACTTTTGGAACTTGTTGATTCTCCTCATGTTTGGAATTGGATTGTCACATTCATATCTTGAGTTCAGGTGAAGTCCAAGTACAAGTGTTAGTTTGAAACACATGTCAGAAAGTGTTTGTGCTCCTAATGAACCTTACAATATGCGGAAGTACAGTGTGAGTGTTTTTCTTTTTTCAATAAGACAAAATTCCAATTGTCTCAGTGTAAATTAGGTGAACAACTCACTTGGGTTAAGCTAATTATTTTGTCAAGTTAAATAAATTCAGCCGAAGTTTTTTTCTTTTTTTTGTTTGCTCATTTGACCTTCAATGTCTTAAAATATGTCAACTTAAAGGTTGTCAACTTAAGTGTAGTCTGGGATGGATAAATGTTGTCTTAAGTGCTTGTATTTTTAATCAATTTCATTTGCCACACACAATAACTAAAGAAAACAACCTAGCAAGAAAGCAGGTTTAACATTTTAGAAACTAGCCTAGGCAGTTCTGACCCATATCGTGCAAAATTGGGTCGAAACACAAAGACAGATAAGCATATTTCTCTCTGGCATGCTGATTTTTTCCTTGAATAAGAGTGGGATGGCATTTTGACTGATCTACATTTTGACCACCGAAACCACTCTGGCCTTGTTTTTTATTTTGTGGTGTAGTAAAGAATAACGCCTCTATAAGGGACTCCATGGCCAAACGGATGTTTACTACAGATTTGTCTCAACATGGCCTGTGCTCCAAAAGTGGAGCCAAGACGCTATGTCCAGGACACCAGAAAAATAAACGTAGCATCTAGCATAGATTTAGAAATGCATGAGCAGCATATGAACAGCACATGTATAAAGTTTGTAAATATAGCCACCGTTGGCTCCTCACCAGCAAATAGTGGCCGGAGGTTTGAACAGCAGCAATCTATGAGTTTCCAGATTGTAGCGTGACTCGAGGCCTTTTATGGCTCTTTTCATACGTAATTCATTTATATAAAGCAGGCCATTAAAGAGTTTGGTTTTCACCATGATTTCCCTTAACTGTTCAAAATAAGCTTTACTATGTTGTTAATGCTCTTGCACACCCATGTCTTCTGGCATTAGCCGAATTAAGAAGGAACACTGCACTTCATGATTTCCTATACAATAAACAGCAGATCTTAATCCTAGTTTGGGACATGACATCACTCAGTAAACAACATATCTCCTGCTTTCCCCACCAACTAGCTCTTCTACGCCTAGTCAGGAAGTTCTCGCTTGACATTTTGATTGTCCCCAGAAAACAAGTACGTCAAGGTTCATTAAGAGATGTTGTCTTGGATTGGAAATTCAACAACAAGTTGTGTTCCAGAGAGTTCCATAGGAACAGAATGTTCAGCATGTAAACAGCATGTTGGGAAGTCTGCGGATCAGGACTGAAATAACATTACAGACGCATTATGGGAAATCCCTGGTTGTGGTACTCATTTAAATGGGAAAGTCTGCCTGTGCTCTCTCTCTCTCTCTTTAATCTGGATGTGATCCGCTGCTTCTGTTGTCTCTGCTTTTCAGGGTCTCTCTCCGGATATTGTGCGGTATTTGGCCTTTTTCTCTCACTTCGCCCTGCAGTTGGCGCAGCTCTTCCTCAGCTGTTTTGCAGACCGAGCACCCTCAGGCAAAGCCGCCATCAAGGTACGAACGGAGCAAGCTCTTCATCAACTAAAATAATCCTTCACAAACAATCCTGTGGTGTTTACTTCTGTCTTGCAGTAATGTAGAACCCAACCCCCCATTTTAAAGTGAATTATGGTAATGGCGGTAGCATGTCCAACTACTGTCTCCCGCAAGAATGTTCCACTTAGATATTAGCTTAACTCATGATTGGATAAAAGAGCTTGACTCATCTACACGGACACTCTGTGGTCCTCCTTCCCGGATAATGATATATCCTTTTTTAAACCAAATTCTTGACTCATTCTGCCCACTGTTTGGTTGTTATGAATGCGAGCAGAGCAACACAGAACGTAATCTCATAACATCTTGTGAGATAGTGGTCCATCTCACTGTTACCCTATGGAGAAAAACAAGGAAATAAGCTTAGAGAGGAATTAGAGTGTTTGTGATGAGGTTGTAGCCACAGATGTCGTGCCACACCCCTTGATCCCCTCCTGGCTCAGTCACTTCCTGTGTAGGGTTATTCACTGCATCCTGAAGAGTGAGACCTCCGCCGAGGAGGCGGGGGAGAGTGCGTGTTTTGTTGGATGGCTGTATGGGCAAAGGGGCAGCTCTGAGGTCAGCAGTGGGTGGAAGTGTGTTACTGTGGCACATTAAGGCATACACACACACACAGATAGAGGTCTACCACTCTTACTCACAGATGCTTCCACAGTGTTTCTCTATTTACTCTCAGTTCACTGTTGCCAAATATGATTTCTAGCTACTGCTCCATCCAAGAAAGCAAAACTGTGAAACTCTTCTTTCTAAAGCTGATTGCCTCAAAACTGGTTATTTATGTCTATAATGTTAAAACTGTTTTAACAAGCCTTGTTATAATTGATAATTTAATCTGTTTCTATATCATATTTTAATTAACAAGTTTGGCTTGGCCCAAACCTGTCAATTAAAATATGATTAGTAAAAATATTTATTACAACCAGAAATGGTTCCATCCCCTGCTTCATATATGGAACTCCAAAATGGTTCTATATAGAACCATTTTTTGGGGTAAAAGGTTCTATTGGCCAAGTATGGAACCCCAGGGTTCTATATAGAACCCAGAGGAACCCTTTTTTAAGAGTGTATAGAACCTTTTACGGGTTCCAAATACGTAGCGCTGATAGAACCTTTTAAGGTTCTATATAGAACCTTTTCTTCTAAGAGTGTAGTAATTACACTCTAAAAAAGGTTCTTCAGGGGTTCTTTGTGGTGGGCATGGTGCTATATAGCACCACTACCATTTAAAGAACCTGTTAAGCCCAGTTTGGTTCTTCAGCGGTTCTTCAGTGGTTCTCTGGGGTGGTTAAGGTGCTCTATTGCACCTCTTGTTCTACATAGCACCATTTGATAAAGATAAGTGCTAGTGGTTCCCCTATGATTACAAATGAACCACTTTTAGTGCTATATAGCACCATTTTTGTTTAGAGTGTAGCAAATTGGGCCGATATTTATAACATCCAATATCTTATAGCCAAATGTTCATGGGAACCAATGGCATTTCTAGTTGGCCTACTGTTTGTTAAACCAAAAACCTTTTACTTTGATTCATTTAAACATATCCACATGCTGTACTTTTTGGCCATGTAGTGTATTTGTAATCAACTTGTTGTTGTCGTTTTCTCAGAATGCATGTCCTGTTCAAGATGCGTCGTTCTTGTCAAAGATCCTCTTCTGGTGGTTTAGCGGGTATGGAATTAAATGATTTAAACCCCATTACTAATTTGTGAAAATAAATACTTCTTGGTCCAGTAAAAGAAATGCAGTTTGTGTTGTGTGTGCTTCCAGGTTGGTTTTTAAAGGATACCGTTCTCCTCTACAAGCAGAAGATCTGTGGAGTCTGAGGGAAGAAGATACATCAGAAAGGATTATATCCGACCTGGAGGAAGAATGGACAGCAGAGCGTACCAAATTACAGCAGTGAGTTCCATTAAAAACATCAGACATGCTTTTTGTCTCACACAAAAGTTTTAGACACGTGAACATTTATGTTGCTGTGGATCCTCATACTGCTTTGATCAGTGCGATCACATTTCCATCTGAAAGATCCCCACAAAAAGACAGACCTAAAATAAGACAAAAAAGAGTCCTGCTGCATACACAGTCGAGACAGGAAGATTGTATCAATTGGTTTGCTTGTTAACACTCTTCTGCTTTGAACATGCAGTGTTTTCAAGACCTCTCAAATCCTCTTTTAAGGCCTCACATGCGTTTTACAATTTGTGGAAACTTGCATTGTGCCGCAGGATGTTTTAATGTCATTCTGTTTTCAATTAGAGCTTACAAAGAGGGATTAAACGAGCTTAACAACTGCATTTAGGCTTCAGCACCAATTCCTTATGCACATGTCCGTTTGCCTCTTCTCCATCTACAGGCAGGAGAACCACCTAAGCACCAGTGTTGCCTTGGGATCTCGACTACCAGACCAGGCCCAACTCCTCAGGAAGATTCAAAAAGAGCAGAGTTCGGGATTCTGTCTGTTACGGACACTTGCGCGTAGCTTCGGACCCTACTTCCTGACCGGGACGCTGTGCCTCATGGTCCATGATGCCTTCATGTTTTCAGTTCCACAGGTTCTAAGGTGAGACAGGTTCCACAGGTTCTTGGCCTCATCCTTAGTTTTAGTTCTCAAACTTTGGGATTTTTCCCAGTAAGTTAGGCTTTGAGTTGTGTTTATGAAAAGTTCTCTTCAAATAAACACAGATGGCCCCTTTGTGCTTTTAAAGACAGCTCGCTAGGTTATCAAAATATTTTTAGAAGAGACATCTTACGGTTCACAATATCTTGGGATGAAAACAGGAAGTGGCAGTGTGCGGCAGGTGCTTGAGTCAGAGACGCCATACCAGCCAGACAGAGATCATGCTGTTTATGCCCACAGAGAAGCAATTATGGCTTCAAGTCTGAAAGCTTGAGAGCGAGAGATGACCACAGCACTCCGTCCGCCCTAGACGTGTTAGCTTCGGGGAGGGTAGAGGAACACTGTCGGGGTTGTGGTTACTACAGGAAAGCTGCCAGTTAAATGGGAGGTTCAGTCAGCTACCAGCAAACTGTAGCAAGTAGATGTATTGTACTGGGATCTTGTGTCAAAAAAGGTGG